GTCAGTGATTTTTCTCTCACACACACACACACACACACACACACACACACACACACACACACACACACACACACACACACACACACACACATGCACGCATATCCACCGGAAAAAAAACCTGTGCTCAGTCATGGCTTTCTAAAAATATCTACTATCTTAAAAGCTAAGCATTCTGTTATTTCCCACTTGGCCTCTGTGAGCTTTAAAGTGAAGTGTAACCCACCATGAGCATCACTTTTCAGCTTGGAGAGCTGCTTCTCCAACACAGCTTGGTTTCCTTCGCAAGTATGAACCCGTGTTCCCCATCTGAGGCCTGACATTTTGGATTTGGGTCTGACTCATGCTAACATCCCTAAAAAAAAAATAACCAGCCATTCTTACAGAGACTAATTTTGTAACTTTATATGATAATGTAGCCATTCAAACAGACAACTATTTGCTAAATCCAGATTTGAGGTAAATTAATTTCACACAGGAGGCTAATCGTGATTAACCCTCCGTCTCCGATGGTGTAAGTATCAGCCTTTTAAATCTTCCGCAGCCCTCTCTGTTCGACATAAAACGCAGCACGACTCGTGAGCGCACCTTTCTAACACAAACAGCTTCTGAGTGGAACATATGCTGCTCCCTGTTTCACACACTCAGACACACTCAACCTCTGCACCGTCTATGTTGCAGTACTGCTGTTTCCCTCAGGGAGTTGTTGCGGCAGTCAGCGGAGGATATTTTTGGTGGTGAGGGGGAGAAAAAAAAAAGAAGAAAAAAACCCATATCAGGTGCTGTGGTACAGTTTTCCCTTCTTTTGCTCCTGACGATGCGTTCGCGGAGTGAAACAGCTCAGTGGTTTGAGCTGCAGCTTAGTAAAACCAGTTTACTGATTCAGTGAAACTAGCTGGGATGAATCAGAACAAAAATAAGCGTGGGGTTTGGGATGGATTGCTTCAAGCTATATTTAAAACTTATGACTCAGAGTGGCTTAAAATGCAAATACCACGATTATTGCAATACACTGCTAAAAATATTCAGAGGAATGGAGTGGAGAAGTGGGAAAATCCACATGTGAGCGTAGAGTTGTGTCCACCAGATATTGGGTCACCAGTTGGGTCACCAGCTTTGGTGAAGTGCCTGTGTCGGGTTATTTACTCTACAGACGTGTTACCTCTGATAACATTTGTTTGAGAAATAATTGCCTTAAAACGCACGAAGATGATGATGCAGGAAGCTATCGTAGGCGTAATGGTGCGTTCACACCAAACGCGTTTTGAGCGTCAGGCGCACCTGGTTTACTTCCAACGTCTATGTGGAGCGTCGGACGCGCTCGACGTGTCAAACGCTACAAATGGTTCAAATCGCGCCGCGCTAGACGCTTGAAACTCGCCGCAGCGGCCCTCAATGCGCCTCCACATAGTCTTTGAATGTAAAGCTGCGTTTGGTGTGAACGAACCATTAGTTGGCGCACAAAAAAATCCATCTCAAATTATTTTCTTTGATAGAAACCCCTGGTTCTTCACTGCTCCATGTGTTTTTTTTTTATATGTGATTATTGGCTGTTATGGTGGTTCTGTGGAGTCCCACTGCCTTTGGAATGGCTTTGCTAGCTTTTTACATTACAAATAAAGTGTTCTTGAGTTATTCAGATCGTGAAATCGTTGAAATTCTTCAGGGTGTTTTTGCACCTGGTAGTTCCGTAGTTTCGTTTCAGTTGAAGACCAAAATCACAACCTTTGTTACATTTTCAGGTCGTGTCGTTCACCTTCTCTCTGCACCATATCAAACAGACCAAAAGAATTGGAAAACCTGTTCCCCTCCTCGCCTGTGGTGGCGCTGCACCAAAAACCACTGAGGGAAACGACACAAAAACCTCTGAGCGTTCAACTTCCTTCTTAACGGAATGTAAAGAAAAACGGAGTGGCGCCAGATTTCACTGGCCAGCACTAGGCTGTTTGTTTTGGTTGTATTTACCCAGAATGCCGTGCGCTACAGTTTGTAGAGCGGTCTTTGTTCTGCTTGGCATTAAAACTGTGCCAGAGTTTTTTCTTTTTTTTAGTTCACATCAGAGTTTGATTACACATTCACACCTCCCAAAACGAACCAGGCTTTTCCTAGAAAAACAAACCAGAGTTTGAGCAGCTGGGATGCTGATCAGACCAGGTTGTCATCAATGGAAAAAAAAAAAAAAAATTGGTTTATCAAATGGAGTAATTTTCACACAACGCAAGGTTGGATAACATTTCCACCCCCTAAAAAAATAAATTCATTGTTTGAGAAGAGGTTTCTGTATTTACTCTGATTTTATTTCATAATATGAAACATCTAAATCTGTAATCTGTTTTAGATTTGAATCAACCAGCCGGGATATTGAGGGTTTATTTATTTTTTTCTTGTGCTTCGCCAATTGAGGAGACGTGATTAAGTAATTGTCAAAAACTCCATAACTCTCAGCAGGTTGCAACGGTTTTAAATGAAGTCACAGTCGGAGCAGGCAAGTTTTTATAAAGTAATAAGTGAGCAGCCAAGAAAAACTAATGTAATGGGTTTTGTGATGAGAACAGTAGGACTTCTGTCATTCTTAAACCCTCTTTTAGGTTTTTTTTGATTACCCAAAGCGCTCTCTCCCCTGCAGCCTTTTTTAAATGTCAGCGAGTGAATTTGTGAATCAGCAGCCGACTCCATGCTGCTCCATCGTCGTTGTTTACGTTCATCTCATCTCTGTCTTCCGTCATGGATCCGCGCGGAGCTTTTATCAAGCCACTCGGCACAAGCGTCTCTTTACCTCCGGTGCTTTGCTTTCATCAAAGCACCGGAGTCAACGACTTTTAGGCGCTCAAGTGGTAAATGTTTAGTTTTTACTCTGTGACTCTCGAACTGTGATGTTAATGGAAGTGAGCTAAAGCACTGAGAGAGAGAGAGAGAGAATGGAGGACCGAGCGTCCGAAATAGCCTGGGTGATGAAACCTAGTTGGAAGAGAAAAGGAGGGGGCGGTGGGAGGGGATTTATCCGGTGATTTACCCTCAAATTAAACGGGAGCTGACTTTAATGATCCCAGCAGGGATGGCAGAAATTTAAATTAGCAAAGACAACAGAGGAAAAAGTGAGACGGAAGTTAATGAAGGATTTTATTGTAACATTTAAACATTTTTTAAGGGAAGTATAGAGCAAGGATAGAAAAAAAAGAACCAAAGACGGCTTATTAATTACCAAAAGCTGATTTGAATTTTATTTTTTTCCTTTACAAGAAAAACAATAAAACACTAAGAAGCACTTGTTTTTAGTAAAAGTTAGTTTATCTCCATTTGTTTTTTTGGCGAGGAAAGTAAAGTATTAAAATAAAACAAGAGCAAACCAGACCAACAAATGATACGACTGTGGGGTAACTGAACCGAACCAGCCAGTATTTAGCTGTGGGAGAGAATGATACTGAGAAAGCGAAGGAAAGTACCGAGTTAACCAGGCAACACACTAAATAAACAGGAAGTGATGTAAAAACCAGCCATGCAAATGTAAAAACAAAGCAGAAAATGACTGAGCTTGAGTAACAGAGCATGTTGGTTTGTGTTCAGCTGCCATCTGTGTGTGTGTGTGTGTGTGTGTGTGTGTGTGTGTGTGTGTGTGTGTGTGTGTGTGTGTGGACGATAAGCCCATCGTTTTTTTCCAGCCTGGGCATTAGCCTCATGGTGGAGGAAGGACGGGCCGTCCGACATGACGGATGACCTGCAGACAGACAGAAGGAGAGTCGCCTCATTAACAGAAAGCACAACAGACAGAGCAGCAGATGATTCTGCCGCAGATTTCAGTCTTTCCATTCCAGCCAATTAATGAAATGACGAGGACACACACTCATGCGCACGCACACACACACACAGTCACCCAGACGGAGGGGGACGGGGAAAGGCCAAAAGCCCGGTTAAGCGGTATTAAATTATTCCACGAATTAAAAGGCTGTACCTGCCGTGTCGGAGCGCTGTGTGTATTTGGGTGTGTAGGTCTGCGTGATTAAGCTGGTAATTAATTTTATGTCCTCGTATTTAATTATCACGGACAGTAAAAATGGTGTGTGTGTGTGTATGTGTTTGGTTGACAGAGGGAGAGAAAGATGGATTTTCCTGGTTAGTGCCTGTTGCAAAGCATAACAATTTAAATCGACACGCCGTGTAAGCTCTGTAACGTCGTCGGAGACGTAATTTGCTTTGCACAGAGAAAGGGTTTGCTTTACTTTTTCCTGTATCCAGTGTGTGTCCCGGTTTTTACCGAGGACATTTTTCAGCCTCTGAGCTCTGTTTCTGCCCGAAGAGCCGACTAAATCACTCCAAGGAGCTCATTATTTACACAGCATACATTGCTGCTTCTCGTCCTCTGTGTGTTTGTTTCTGTGTCCAATCACATCTCGGTTCTCACCACCTTTCTTTTTCACTTCTTTCCCCTCCCAATAACATACGCAGAAATGTAAATTTTATCACGGTAGAACCGCACACTTTAGTATTTTTGACTGGAATTTAACATCGTCGCCTTCATGCAAAATATGTGTGGAAAAATCTGGCAGAGCACATCACCCGGAAACCCTGCTTACTGAAACATGGTAGTGGCAGCATCATGCTCTGTGACTGATTTTGTTGAGCACCAACATAGAAGCTGGTGAGACTTGATCAGACATGGTATATTTGGACTGCCCAGTCAAAGTCCAAACCTACTGTAAGCTTTTGGTAGCTTTTGAAATGTATTTTTACAAGCCAACAGAGATGTTGTTTTTTTTGTTTGTTTGTTTTTTTTTACATAAATAGCCATAAATGTTAGCCCTTTGCTGTAATTGAAGCAAAATGTGTTTGCCTTTTCTTTATGAAGTATTAATGTATAATTTTAGATCTGTAAGTTTTTGAGGTTTTGCTCAAAATGTATTATTTTCATGTAAGTTCTTCACCTCATAATCATGTGCTACTTTAGTCACAACAAAAACAAAATCCCAATACAGTAACAAAATGTTAGAAAGTTAAAAATGTTTGAGCATTTATGGAAGAAACTAAATGCCAAAACACTGCCTCCCCCTCCTCCTCTTTTCTGTCACCTCTCAGCAGAGATATTTCCAGGGTCGGGGTGGGGGGGGGTTTGTTTGGTCTGCCTGACCTCCATCTGACTGGTGTTTGTGCATGTTATAATCCAGCTCCTGCCAATGACCCTGGCGTATCAGCAGCCGGCCCAGACTGTGCAGCCTATAGATAAATCTGCGGCGCTGTCCTTGGTGCTGAAGAAGCAGATGGCTCTGCAGCAAGGCTCCTCTCGTTGCCCTGGCCCTCTGTCAGCTCGCTCTCTGATTTACGGTGCTATAAAAAGTTTTCTGAACATCTTCCGTGTTTTCGTTTTGCTCTGGCTGCTCCTCAACTCGGTTTAAAATTCACTGCCCGCTGGTTTCCCAGAGGAGTTATAGTTAGCATTCGCTGTAGTCTGACCCAAGAATCATTCAGAAAGCAAAAGACACGTAAAACATTTTATTTTCAAGTATTTTTGTATTTTTTTTTTTAAGTCTGATTGAAATAGATGGTCCCTGCATCCTCTGAATAACTTTAGGTTATGAATTCATCTGACAAATTTCACCTAATTTAACACATGAACATGGAATCATAAAAGCACAGACCATGTTGCTACTGTTTTGAACTGCTATTGATTATTTTTGAATATTACTAAGTGTAAATACTTCGTTAAACATGTAAAAACACATTAGTAGAGCAAAGAAAATAGACAAACACTTGTTAATATTGACTTTATGAATGAATAAAACAGGATATAATGTTAATCTGAGTTTGGCAAAAGTCCTGGTATTGAGCCATTGATTGATTGATTGATTAATTGATTGACTGAGGTGTTGACATTCCTCTCTGTGGACACTAGCCACCAACTAGCAAGCGCTCCTTTTGATACTATAAGCAGTTGCACTCCTCAGATATACAGCTTTATTCAATAATTTATCATATTCAATCTGAAGAGGCTCCTTTTGCAAATTTAAAGCACCATTTAAAAACAACCTTCGCTGCATTATAAATGAGTTTTTTATTAGTCTAATGTAAAATTTGTCTGACAGTCGTCGCAGCAGAAACGAAGGGTTAAAAAACACCAGTGTAGTTAAACTGCATGATGGTGTTTCTCTTCATGAATGGAGTTACTGGAACAAGTGAACTTTCCAGTGATATTCAGTGTTGAACGGGCCTGCGCTGCTTCATTTACTGTCTGTCAAGAAACTGATTTGCGGAAAACAGTAGAAATCTCCTCTGTATTTCTTTAAAACATGCTTTTTTTGTTATTATTGCTGTTTTTTTTGTTTTTGTCTTGTTCTCGTGATGTAACCTTTTTATTTTCTTCGTCTGCTGTGTCCTTGACTTGGAGGATTATTGTTCCTGTTGGCACAAAAATCAAACGCGATTTCAAACGTCTGAGTTTCGCACAGACACACATTAGCAGTCCTAAGTGGGCAGGTTGAGTTGAAGAAACTCAGGTGGACAGCAGAGTGGACTAAGAGGTATGAATTAGGCTTTAGCATGTTGCTGTGCTATTCTATAACCATCATATGCTGGAAAATAATAGATCCATCCTTGCTGGAAGGCAGCAGCACTAACAGCTTTTGCTACTAGACTTTAACATTTACTATAAAGTCCCAGTTATAGTTTTTCTTTTCTTTTACTCAATACCTGTAAATATGTTGCATTTTGTCTGTGAACATAAGTGACAATTTTACATGGAGGCAATAGTGACAAAACTTTAGATTTGTTGCGTAGTTAGAAGCCCTTTTATTGTTAAATTTGTTTCGGTGTCACCGTCTGAAAAAATGTGGTTTGGCTCTCCGGAACGTTCAGCGACATCGAGTTGAAGTGATTTGTTTGTCGAGTCGTGGACTAACCTCAGATATGTGATGTTGGTCCAAATGTCATGATTTAACTTGGGAAGAGTGTTTTTTATATGATAGCTTGAGCAGATGTCTCTGAGCCAGGGGATAAGAGGACAGGAACGCACGAAAGAAGAAAAGAGCCGGACGAGGTGAAAGGTCAGGAGGGGGGAAGAAGAAGTATTGGTGACCTTTAATTTTTGAGTGAGGAAGGAAGGAGTGGTGTGTGTGTGTGTGTGTGTGTGTGTGTGTGTGTGTGTGTGTGTGTGCGCGTGTGTGTGTGTGTGTGTGTGTGCGCGTGTGTGTGTGAAGGTTTATTGAGGTGAGAAAGCTCAAAGGCAGGAAGAGATGGAGAGAATAGAGAGACGACAGGAAGAAAGGGGGAGAGCGAAAGCAGTTACACAGCAGGAGGGTCTGAGTGCTCTCCTCCATCAGAGACTGTTGATTAAAATTTAATTGGCTGAGGCTAGAGGTCAAAGGTGAAGCTGTGTGTGCGTGTGAGCAATAAAAGCCCAAATCCGTCTGTCTTCATGCACTCAGTCACTCCTCTGCAGTCTCTCTCTCATTGGCTAATTGCTCTTTCCTTCTTTTTCATGTGGAGGTCGCCACTTCTAATTGGCTCTCTGGTATCTCTCCAATTAGAAGTCCTAATTTTAGATGAAGTGTTGACTCACTCCTGTAGGTGGCATGTGAGAAACAGGTCCAGCTTCAGCAGGTTTTTAATTCAGCAAGTTGGATGCAGAGAAATAAACTGTGTGCTTTGAGAAAATAATAATAATAAAACACTTAAATGCTAAATTTCTGGAATAGCAATACAATCTTCATCTCGGAGAGGAATGATGTCATTGTAGACGCTCGGTCTAAATGTGCATCTGAAAAATTAGAATGTAAAGTCTATGCTTATGTGAGAAATTGGTGAACTATAAGAGCAACACAATACAATTTAATAATTTTCGAGGTGAAATGGTTGAGTTGAAAACAACACTGGCAAACAAAAGCACAGTTGTGTAAATTAATCTGAATAATATACATGTAAGTAAGTTTTAGAAAATTAAATTTCAGGTCGCAGACGATAGATTTTGGAAGAAATAGACGAGAAGAAAATTATTTCATGTTCTCAAAGTTTTCAAAATAGAGCTGTCGTTAAATCGAAATTAGTCGCAACAGTTTAAAATGATTTAAATTTGATATTTCAGATTAATTTCTGATTTCTCTTTTTCTTAATGAAGCTTAAGCAAGGTTTTAAACATCTAACGTATGTATGCTGTTCATGCTAATGAGGTTTATTATTTGACTTTTGGCATTTAATAAATTACTAGTTACCATAGTAGATGCAGATGAGGCACCATGAGCATTTTTTTTTTCGGGATCGATTCAGTTATAAACAAAAAATAAAAGTTTTATAGTTTGAGTTATAAAACTTTTATTTCACATTTGCAAACACAAAGCGACATCAAGCTGACTTTAGTGCTGTCGACCAGTAATCATGTTCAGACGTCTCCTAAAGACTTTCCTTCATGTTTTTGTCAACATTCACAGTCCGGCGGACGACAGACATAAAGCATGTGTGCGCTCGCCGCCGCCGCCCTCACGCAGGGGCGCGTCCAGCCGGTCCAGACTAATCTCCCAGATAAAAGTCTGAGCGGATGTTTTCGTGTCGCTACATTCTTCCGTCAGGTCTCGTCTCCATTAACCTCCTTTTTTATTGAAGCCTCCTCCTGCTTTTCAAATCAGGCCTCCCAGGACTCTCCGTTTTATCACGCTGTGTTTTCAATCAGCGCAGAGTGAGAGGAGAGCTGAACGCACCGGGAGCGCACGCACACGCACACACACACACACACAC